AAATCACTTGAATAAATTGCTTTTAACTTTTAACAACAGTCAAAATTCACTCGAATGAATTGCTTTCAACTTTTAGAAAGAGCCAATTAATTACTACTATGTGGAAGTCTCGTTATCAATTGACAGCAGGTATCACCTATATTTTAGTTTCGTTAACACGTGATGATTAATTAGTAGATATGTCCCGTTTGTCAAAAGGGAAACAGTGAGAAATTATACCCAAGAGAATAATTTTCTTAGGACTAACAGGTGTAAGTATAATTATACCCAAGAGAACAATTTTCTTATGACTAAAAATAATAAAGCTAGAATAAAGCATAGGATTAAATATTAATGAAGGTAAAAAATAATAATAGTCTGAGCGTAGAATAAAGCTACTACTTAATTGGACTTATAATGTGTACATATTGTCCCTAATTTATGTCAATTTTTCTCATCCACCAGTTCTATTTTGGAACCCCGTGTGAGAATAAGAGAATTCCTTTATCAATTAGCATGTGTTAAACACTAGTCAAGTTTGTAATGTGCAAATTTAGAAAAAAATTTAGAAAAAAAAAATATATATACTAATAAAAATTTAATTTTAGCATATAAATTTATCCCTTGATATAAGACAAAATAACATTTTTACTTATTGTTGTTCAGTATATAATATAAGAAAAATGAATATTGTTAAATAGTGTAATAGAATTGTTATAAAATTATATGAATTATTATTTTTTACAATATGGATTTAATATCTTTAAAAGATTCGATAATATAACTATAATATATTCTTATTGATATAATAATATGAGATACGGGTTTACATAATACTATGGATTTATTCCTTAATGTTAAGATATTGAATTAGGTAATATATGATTCACTAATTTGAAGCCTGTCTCTTTTTATATTGAAAATAATCATGTGATTGAGTAGAGATAACAGCTATCTATGAATTCCTTCATTTAAGGAATAATTTTTAAATTGGTCCAAGTGTTGAATGCAGTCCGATTTTCTTGTAACTAAAATGAGAAGAGATTTTGAATTTCAAATTTTCACTTCAAAACCACACGTATATTTGGATGCAGATTTTATTAAAAATAAAATGAGAAGAGATTTTGAATTTCATATTTACTTTAATATCTGTCGAAATTTTTAAAAATGAATTCAACAAAACCAATAATTTTAGGGGCATTCAATGTTACCCTATTTTATGATTTAAAATATCTAAAACTTTCTAAATATGGTGTGCAATTAATTATTTTAGAAGATGAACCGCTTTTGTTACCAAAAAATGTGGTCACAATTTTGAATGCACATCCCGTCTAAATATCAATTTTATTTTAAAATAAAAATTGCACGTGGTTTTAACCAATTTACACACTTTTTTTGAAAGAAAAAATTATTCATTAAGATTGGAAGAATTGGTTAGAAATTATACAACTATTTGTTTCGTAAATTTGTATCCAATTTGCACGGTTTTTGAATTGATTTGCATTTAGAATTGTTTTCATAAATAATTGACACATTTTTTGCATAAGAATCTCTAAATTTGTTACCAAAAAAGATATGATTTAAATTTTGATAAAAAAATAAAATATGATACGAAAAAAATGAGATTCAAGTTTTGCCATAAGAATCTCCAAATTTGTTACCGAAAAAATAGGATTCGGATTTTGTTTCTAAACATTTACATGTGTTTTTTCGAACTTTCCATTAATAGTAAGTCAAACATTATTTTTATTTGATCAAACTTTCTATTAATGTATTTTTTCAACAACCTCTTTATATATATATAGATATAGATTCCTCGTTGGTCGGTCGTATATTATAAAGAAGTGTTGTAAATTTCGTTATTGAAAGCAAGTTCAATTGTTGAATAAATTCCTTTCAACTCAAAAAATTAATATTATTATATATATCATAAATATTTATTGCACAAATATTAGGGAGTGATTAGATATAAAAAATTACAATCCATACTTAATCCAACTAAAAATCTAACTCAACTTTAGTCCAACTACTCAACTCCCCTACCTTCAATATTATCAATATAATTAAATAATACTAATCTATTATTATTACACATCTACTCACATAATTTTAACTAACCATCACTTCATATCGTTTATCTCATACTTTTACATCAAATCAGTTTTAATTATTTTATTTAAATATTATTTTAATATAAATTTAAAATCTCACTAACAACTAATCATTCGATCCATACCACATTATTCCAAATTAACTTTAGTTAAC